AGTTTTTTTCTTTTCTTTAATATGTATTGCCGGAAAATTATATATATATATATATAATTTTGACGAAGTCTCCTATCTAATAGGGATCGACGTCGTAAAAAAAAATGCCAAAAAAAAATGGCAAAGTCTCCTATTTGATAGGGACCGACGCCATACGGAAAAAATCACCTTTTAATCAAGACGTCCTCCGACACGCCGGTTGTGTCAAGGCTTTTAGTGGATCCGATGTTTGAATCGACGTGTCACCCAACGAAGGGGACCGACAATCGGGTCAATATGATGCCATGTCCAAAACTAAAAAATTTATTTAGTCTGAAAAATAGGAGTTTAAAAATTAAAAAATATCTTGACATGGATTTTTAGGAGATAATTTAGGACTAAACCGTGCATGGTACCTTTTTTCGAAAATGGTGCTTTTAGGTGATTAAAGATCTTCCTAAAAGCGTAACCAACTCCTTACCTTAGGAATCTCCGAACCGAGTACTACTTTTAGGTTCCTAGTTCCTGAAATACTAGGTGGCGACTCCAAAACTCGTAAATAATTTTATAATTAACGCCCAAACAATTAATTTTTCTTTTGGGGAGTCTCGACCGACGTCGTGTAGCGACATGAATGCTTAAACTTATGCGTGTGACTCGATAGGCTCCTCGATATGTTAGTAATGTATAAAAAATAAAATACACCTCTTTTATCTCTTAATATATAAATAAAGATTGGCCTATAGTAAAGCATCATGACTACCCAATTCTCTAGGAGGATTAATTAATCCATGATTACCTTTCACGAGCATGGTTACCATATAATTCATTACTCATGTCAATTTATCACAATGTGATATTGAACTTGGTTATTAGTCCATTCAATTATAATCATATAATTTTTCTTCAATTCCTAAATGTCTTAACTCTTAGAGTAAATCAACTATGCTCTATTAGTGTACTCCTGTTATGGCTACAAATTCCTCGAGTAAACATTTATCGAAGTGTAATATGATAACTCTTTTATCATATAAAGAATGACATGTCCTATCTTAGTAATCCATCTATCTCCATTACATTCCTAGTGCACCCAACAAATCACCATGCAACTTTTTATTGAATTTATCGAAAAGAGTGTCAAAGTATATAAATCTTCTAATGAGATAACCATGATGACTTCAAGTCAACGAACCAATTATATCATAACTCGTATGAGATTCTTATAGACTAAACCAAATGGGTTCTCATGACGAGTCAAGTCTAGTGATATGTTCTCTTATATTAATCACTTAAGTGCTTGTTTTGACATCACCATGCTAATAGGTGTGAGATCTTCTATCGCTATCTTATAGCATGAGCATAGCACTCACAACTTTAATTACATACGATCAATGTCAATTCTTGAAAATGCTACGACTTATGACATTTAATGATATCATTTATGTGTATTAATATTTATCTCATATTTTTTATCAATAATTGATAAAATGCATATCATATGGACTTTTATCCGATTATATTCGGTAAATATAAACAACAAGAATTAATTAAAAAAATTATTTTATTATTAATAAAATAAATAATGCAATGTTACAATAACCCAAACCATTCAATCAAGGTTGAATCTTGGGCACCTACACTAATAATTTTTATAACAATTCTTAAGTTATGGACTAATTTAATTGGTGATTAAATAAGTAAAGGTAAATTGACAAAAAAGTATTTTTATAAAAATAACTTACTTTGAGAATATATATATATATATTATTTAAAGTTTGGACTCGACTAAATAAATCAAATGAGCTTCCACGATGTGCATTAATAATTCAATATAACTAAGGATATGAGGCTTAATGTCTTGCATTCATTGCACTTAGAATGTGAGACATTACTAGTAATGCTCTCAACCTATTTAGGTCCTAGGTTTAAAGTGGTACAAAGTAGTATCAAAGCATGTTTGACTTACTAGCTGGATTAAGATGACTAGATAAGTACAATAAGTCGGTCCTCGCAACAAGAAAGTAAAAATGGATATTGTTATTACTTAGAAAATGTATTAGTAATTGATGTGTTTATTTATTGATATGTGCATGTTATGTTTGTGCAACTAAATTTGCTTGAATGCACATCTAGTCGAATAATATATAAGTATATGAAGGATAAATGTGTAACATAGTATATGTTTAAATGCGTAAATAGACAAGGATGCCACCAAAAAGAATATTAATGATATCTTGGAGGAGGACCAAGTAGGAGGAATGATAATAGTACGATGGGTCCGAGTTGGAGTGCTTCAAATCGAGAGGAACAATTAATGACGTTGTTAAGACAACAATAGGAAATAATACGATGAATGTTGGATATGTAACAACGGAATCCGAGTGGTGGAAAGGTCACCATAAAAATTGATACCATCAAATGTTTTCAAAAATTTAACCCAAAGAAATTCATGGGTAAACCCGACCCAATGATTGCGAGAAGAATGGATCGAATCTTTGGAATTGATATTTGATCATATGGCGATAGGCAATGCAATAAGGTATCTTCTGCCATCTTTATGTTGATCTGGGGATGCCTAAAATTGGTGGGAATCACCAAAGGTTTCCCTAGACATGCCTAATCTTATGTGGGCACGATTCAAAGAGGTATTTAACGAGATGTATTTCTTGTATACCATAAAATTAAGAAAAATTCAAGAGTTTTTCAAGTTAGAACAAAGTGACATGATAGTGGCTGAATACATTCAAAAGTTTGAACATAGTTGTTGTTTTGCAATGTTTATTTCAAGTGATACTCGCTAAAAAATGAGAGCATTTCCTTAGAGCTTTAAAGCTAAAATTCAACGTTTAGTACAATTTTCTATAAATAATTATCCCAAGATGGTTAGTCAAGCACTCAAAGTAGAAGGAGACAAAAAAGAATCAATACGACTTCATAGAATCAAACAACCTTATGTGGTAACCAACACTAATACACAGAGTTGTAGGACAAAATCAACCTGCTAAAGTATGGACAAATGGTACCGAAAATGCAAAGACTTTTCGGAGGCCTCGAAAGATAAAAAGACATGCTAAACCATATTGTGGCAAGTATGGTCATTGGAGAGTGCCTAATAAGTACTAACGTATGTTATTACTATAAAGAATATAGCCACCTAACTAAAGATTGTCCTAAGAAGAATAAGGTTGGAAGGAAGGCACTATGAAGGGTATATATGATGACAAACGAACCGGGTAAAAATGACATGCATAGTGAAAAGAATTAATAAATAAAATTTTGAGTATGGAATTTATATAAGGGAGGAGCATTTGTAACACCTCAAATTAGAATCTTCTTGTGTATGTAAATGTGCATGTTTAGATCTTAAGTGTGTGTGTGTGTGTGTGTGGGTAGGGGGTCGTGGGTGGGTGTTTTTGTATGTGTGTATTTTGTTAAACATGTAATAACTATGTTCATGCATAAACAATATATGTATTTTAGACTTTTATGAAATTATGCTTAAACTTGTTTATATTAATTACATAATTTTGCATAACTAAGTTACTACGAATTAAAGTTATATGGAAAAAATTAAGTGTGTGTGTGTGTGTTGCAAGAATAATTTAATTATTTAATATATGAATATTTATTTAAGAAATAAATTAATATTTGCATAGATAATAAATTAATGCATGCATAAATATTATAAAAGGTGAATAAATTATTTAAATACTTGATTTAGTAAGTTATAAGGTTAATTATTGAGGTTATGATAATTGAAGGGCATAATTGTAATATTTTAGGAGTTAATTGGTATAATTTAAAGATTTGGACGCTTAATTAAAATAAGTAGGAAATACAAATGGCCACTATAAATTAGGAGAAAGCCTAAATAAGGGTTAGATTGTGAGATTGGAGGATTAGGGATTGAAATTGAAGGATTCGATGGAAATGATTAAGAAAGTTTAGAGATTAAAATGTAACATTTCAAAAAATTAAGGGACCAATTAATTCAATTGAAATTGGCCCTCTATATCTAGATTTTAGCTTAAAAAACAAAGAGAAAGAATGGCTAATATGTCGATAAAGAAAGATGAATTAAAAAGAGGGGAGAGAGAAAAAGAGAGAATTCTTGAGAGGAGGCATTAAATGAAAGATAGAAAGGATTGAACTAAGTGTGCCACACTTGAAAAAATCAAAAGAAAATCCTCTTCTATAAATCGGCAGGAAGAGGAAGAAGAAAGGGAATGAAAGCTTGGAAATTCAAGTAGAGTCAACTTGAGTCGAAGGCAAATTCAAGATAAATTACCCACCACCTAAAACCATACAAAACACCTTACATACATCCCAATACCCTCTAGAAACACTTAGAGAGATCAAACAAATAAGAAGAAAAAATAGGGAGGTTTGGCCGAAACAATAAGGAAGAAGAAGACCAAGGAAGAATTTGATCAAGCATCAAGCTAGTGAGGTAAGCATAGTCCTCACTACATTGGAAAAAAAAATGATTAATTTGATACTTTATTGTTGCTATTTTAAAGTTCTAGAAATTATGAGTTGGTAATTCAAATTGATTGGTTTTGGTGTAATTGATAAATCTTGATGAATTATTGATGGAAACATGTTTGTAGAGATTGAAATAACATGTTTGAAGATTCATTGAGGTTAAATAAAAGAATTAAAATTATGCAATTGAAGTTGAATGTTTTGACGAAGGGTTTGTCCTACATTTAGTCCCCGTACAGTTCAATTTTTTTTTTATTGAAACTCTCTTTAATTTTTCAGCTTGATTGAAACTCTCTACTCTTATAAATTTGTTGAATGAGACCTTCCGTTAATTGTGTATCCTATATAGCATGTTAAAACTAACGGTACCAATCAGCTATGGACATGTGGCATTGTAGACTCTAATTGTTTTAATATACATCCGAACAAAAAAAACTAAAATTAAAAAAGATTCTTATTATTAATCTAATATTTATTATTTAAAATGAATGAAAAAGATGAAACTACCCCAGTTAGTTCATTTATTATTAAACTACCCCATCTAAATCACCCTCTTCTTCCTTCTTTGGTTCATCATCCTTATTAACTAATCTCCTTCTCAATCTCTACGACAAGGTAAGTAGAATAGAACCCAACACCAAATTGTCCAATCATGCTCACATCAACTCTAGCTTGCAATGCCTCCATAAAGTCCTTCATCTTTGATCTATCAATCATTCCTAAATTATTCATCAAATCTACTTTCAAAAAAAAAAAAAAATCACAAGCACAAAATAAGTCCCAAAACCCAAAATTTATATCAAGAAACAAACTTTACGAGTGACCTAGGTAACATGTTTTTAGAAAAGAATCTTGGATTTGATAGATATACTTAGAATTAAAATCAAGAAAGAAAATTTTCCTTAACTTGGGTAGAAATTTTTGAAAAATATTTTTGGGTTTGAGAGATATTTATTAAGAATCGGAATCGGAATCAAGAAACAAGGAGAAGGAGATCAAATCCAAGAAGAAGAAGATTAAGGAGGTTTTTCATGAGTGGTGGCTCATTAACAAGCGGAACAACATCAAGCTTATGGAATGGTTTCGATTGAGAAAGAAAAAGAGGAAGAGAATAAGGAGAGAGAGAACGATAGTGCTTCTTCTTTTTTTATTTTATTGGTTATTGATAATGGGGTGGGGCAATGTGGTCTTTCCCATTTATTTTTAAACCCTAAATGTTTGTTTAATAATAAAAAAATGAACCTTTTTTTTCATTTTGAACATATATTATTAGACTAGGACCTATTACAACACGTGTCAATTCGTGATTGGTTATGGCTAATTTTAACATGCCACGTTGAATGAATATTTAACGAGTTATAACGAGAGGTCTCAATCAATAAATTTATAAAAGTATAAGGTTTTAATCAAACTAAAAATAATTAAGAGTCTCAATCAAAAAAATTGAAATTGTACAAGGACTAATTATAGGGTAAACCCTTTTGGCAAAAATAGTGATTTTCGGAGAAAATATTAACTTCCATGATCTTGTGTTTTTATGTGTTTTTTTAGGTGGAGTGGGCATGTTTAAGGGTGTTTGACTGAAAAAGTTGGCTTGATAACCATTATTGATCATTTTGGCCATAATTGTTAAACTTAGACTAATGGAGTTAATTAGTGTAAGCGGGATTAATTGGTGGAATTGAATTGATTATATGTTTAGATGATAAACTAAGTGTGATTAAATGAAATATTGATGTTGATTATTTATGTTGCTTAATTTGGCAAAAACTCTAAGTTTAGTTAAGGTTGAAGTAGTTAATGTTTTATGAGTTTTATTGTTTAATGAAGTGAATTAACATGAGAATGAGTTATTAAATAGAAAAAATTCAGCATGGGTTGGTAATTAATGTTATTCAGTCAAAGATGATAACTTGGACTAATTGCCTAATTCATGGGACTAAAGTGAATTAATGCTTGATATATTGTTCAATGATAATTATATATATGATTTATAATTGGTATGTGCTTGCTTATATGGAGCGAGAACTCCTTATTGCATTTGGCAAAGTTTAGATTAATGTTTATGTTTTGGCTTGATTAATGGATGATCATGTTTGATGGTATGCTTGTTGGTTGAATTGGAGATTGATTCATTGATTATGTTGAGTTGATTAGTGATTGATCATGATGAATCATGAGTCTAATTGATGATTAAGTGGAGTAATTAGGTTAAACCTTGATTTAGGAACCTTAAAGTTGTTAAAATCATGAAGCTATTGACTATTGAAATGCTTAGGTCAAATCAAGAATTTTAGAGAATGAGATACCAAATCTGAAATTTTAATGGGTTGCTATGATTTGCATGTGTTTAATGATAATTAAATTAGTTTAGGTATATCTAAGTTGAATGATGATATATTTACATGAAAATTGATTGGTTTCACGCATGATTATGATGAAAACAAGTTTAATCTTCATGGTTTGTTCTTCGTAGTTTCAAGCAACATTGATCCTTAGTATGCATTAATTTGTTTTGTTATGTTAAATGATACTTGAGCAAGTTATTGGTGATATAATTAATTGGTAATGAATTTTTGTGATAATTAATTTGTTTCATGTTGAATATGGTCATGGAATGGTTATGGTGGAATTCGACCTAGTGGTCATTTCATTGATCTTGATGTAAATGGAATGATTTAATGATGTTTTCATGTATTGTTTGGTTAATTATGCAAGTATAATGTTTGTCATGCATTTCATGAAATGGTTTTCATCATGTTCATGTTTTCAAAAATAGAATCAAGTGCAAGGATTTTCAAAAAAAAAAATGGCTAGGCATGTCCCAATCACAATCATAAGCTTAATCATGACACACAAAGAGAATCATCTAGTGTAAACTCTTTGTAAGCATCACAGGATTCACGGGAAAATCATAGATTTCATAAGGGACATGCCTAGTGCTTTTCATAATTTTCACATATATTGTTTTCATGGATAGCTGAATATATAATATATTCAATAGGATGCACCCGATCACATAAAACATATTTCTAAAGTCACAAAAATATATTTCATTGCATCACGCATACACGATTACACTTATTGAGCATTAGCTTGCCTTTTATTTCTTGTGGTGTATATGAAAAAGGTCCAAAATAATGATGTGCTTCAAGTTGCGGAAAGAAGATCGACTTGCTAGTGTGTGTGTGTGTGTGCGCTTAATAAAATAGGTGTGAGTGAGAAGACCTCTTCTTCTCTTTTATCTTATTGTTTAAACTTAAAATGTGTGCTAGGTTTAGCACTTAAAAGTTTGCAAAAATAATGATATTCCTGGACTAATTCTATAAATATTAAATAAATGGATATGTTTGTTTGGTTTAATTAAAGTTTAATAAATTAAATTGATGATTTGATTAATAAAATTAATTAAGCTGATTAATTGAAAAATTAAATTGGGTTCAACTAAAATTAAATGGATAAAGGATAAAATGAATCAATTAACTGAATGGCCTTAATTTAATGAACATGAATAAGTTAGATTCAATAAGTTGATAACAGTTAGATTTAATTGGTAAGGAATAATTGAGCTTAGTGGATTAAATTTAATTTATTTTAGTTCAAATAATTGAAATTGATGTTTTTTAAGCTTAAAATGTTTTTCAAAAGATTTAATACATAATTTAAATTTAGCTTTCAAATGGTTAAATTAAAGTTTTAATTGAGTTGATTAAATGGTTTACTAATTTAAAAAGATTTTTATAACAATCCTAAGTTATGGACTAATTTAATTGGTGATTAAATAAGTAAAAGGCAAATTGACAAAATAGTATTTTTATAAAAATGACTTATTTTGAGAAAAATATATGCATATCCAATTTTATTTAAGGTTTGGAGCTGAATAATTAAATCAAACGAGCTTCTACAATGTGTATTAATAATTCGGACAATAATCAAGGATATGACGTTTAATGTCTTTCATTCATTGCGCTTAAAATATGAGGCATTGTCGGTAATACTCTCGACCTATTTAAATCCTAGGTCGGGGGTAATACAAAATCATTGTGAGCTCATGGTGTTTTCCTATTATTATTATTTTTTTCTTTTACCTTAATTTGATAGTTTATAAACTAATTTTTTCCCCTTTCATTTCGAAATATATATATATATATATATATATATATATATATATATATATATATATTGTTGTTTAATTATTTTTTTGTTAATTTTTAGTTAGTATAATTTATTTTCTTATTATGGTTAATTTGTTAGTTGTTAATTAAATTAAATAATTATTTAAAAAAATTAATTAGGTTTTAGTTTAATTAGTTAGGTATTAATTAAACTATTTAGTTGTAAATTAAGTTAATTAGTTATTAATAAAGTTATTTAGTTCTTAAATTAAGTTAATTAGTTGTTAATTAAATTAATTAATTGTTAAAAAATTAATTAGATGTTAGTTTAATTAATTAGTTGTTAGTTAAATTAATTACATATTTAAAAATGTTAATTATATTTTAATTTAATTAATTATTTGTTAATTAAGTTATCTAGTTTTTAAATTAAGTTAATTAATTTTTACATATTTCAAATTTTTAATTATATGTTAATTTAACTAATTAGTTGTTAATTAAATTATTAAAATTTTTAGAAATTTTTATTAGGTGTTAGTGTAATTAATTAGTTACTAATTAAGTTATTTAGTTGTTAAAAAAATAATTTGTTGTTCATTAAATTAATTAAAAAATTAAATTAGTCGCTAATTAAGTTATTTGATTGTTAAATTAAATTAATTACATATTTAAAAACTTTAATTAGATGTTAATTTAATTAATTAGTTGTTAATTAAATTATTTATTTGTTAATTTAAATTAATTATTTTTTAATTAAATTATTAAAAATTTTAAAAATTTAGTAACAATTAGCGACGATTTAGATCTAAACTATCACTAACGATGGTTTTTTGAAAACCATCACTAAATTGAAGACTTTTTTCTCATTATTTAGCAACCAATTTTTTATTTTTTAACAATGGATCAACCATCTCTAAATTCGCGATAGAATTCCAAAAAACATCACTAATTAATTAGAAAAAAACTTTTTAACAATGGTTTTTTGAAAACCATAGACTTTTTTCTCATTATTTGATAACAAATTTTTTATTTTTTAACAATGGATCAACCATTTCTATATTCGCGATAGAATTCCAAAAAACATCACTAATTAATCAGCAAAAAACTTTTTAACAATTTTTCGACTATCGCAAAACTATCGCTAAGTATAATTAATGATAGTTTTTTCCATTTAGTGACAGCATGGCTAAATAATTTTTTTATATATATAGTGATATAACACCAATTAACATTCAAACTTGTTAATTAATTTTAATTCTATACTAGAATCCGCCTGATACAGCAGGCAAGCAGAATCACAATTCTACAAAACAGAAAATTCAAATCCAACCCCAATCCCCCGATTTTTTTATAACGCAATGGATTTCAGCAACTTGCATGCCAATTTTGCCCTCTTTCCATCTATAATAGCATGGGTGATTAGTTATATATATATATATATATATATACTATTTCAATTCAAAAATTTAAACCATTAGAAACTTCAATATTAATGGTTTTATATTACCTCTAATAAAAACTCTTTGACTTTAAAATATATACAAAGATGCCATTATCTTATGTATAATTAGAAGAGAAAATAAGAATAATGAGATTTAAACTAGTAACTATTTAATCATCAAAACTATATACAATATCAAAAAAACCTATTTTAATACTAAAATTTAAATTGTTAAATAAGTTTTAAAAAATACTTTTATACTCTGTCTAACATATGGTGAAACAATTTCTACAAGCCATATTAATATACATAATATCAAATTGGCTCACAGGAATTTTATTTACTACAAGCGAAGATAAAATTTTATTTGAAATTAATACCGGCAAAGCCATTAAATATGCTGGATAAACCTCCATATTGCTGATTCAATCCGGAAAGGGTAACCTGCAAGAAATTTTGGAGTTGCATTATTAAAAAAAAATTAACAGGAATCAGAACAGTAAAAATTAACCATAATAACCTAAAAAATAGTAAATGAATAAACTTCCATGTCCTGATTATCAGTTTAATGTTGTTTGAATTGAGGTAATTATAATGCGTTCGAATGAGTGCGTAGCCACAAGCAAACTGAATGAAATTCATAGAAACCATTTGCGTGGAAATGAGAGTAACAAGCCAACCCCAATGTAAGAAAAGCACAAGAGCTGTCGGAGTCCTGACGAAGATCAGCTGAGCTCATGCTGCTGATATTGGTCACCAGGGAATCTGATGACTGGCCTCGTTCAAGCAATTGTCCTTTTCCTGCTGATAAATTCATCAACTGCCAAATATAAAATGAACTCAAAAGTGAGGGTGAGTAACAAGAAGCAACTGAAAATTAATAAGATGTATAATCTCACTTGCTGCTCCAATCGCTGGTTCTCTTCTATTAATTCCTCCATCTACAAATTAACAAAAAATAATAATATGAAATTGAATGAAAAGTGATCATGGTAATAATTTGAGGTAATATCAGTTTATGCACATCATATGGCTGTGTTCAATTTCATTGATTCAGGATGAAGTTTTGAGGCTTAATTTATAATTTTTACGAATTTTTGCATGAAGAGCCTGAACATGTACGTAGTTAGGAATGTCACCTTTCTCTTGAGAGCGTCCATCTCATTAACAATTTTATCCTCCTGAAACAAAAAGAAGTTGAAATATATGTTTTAAGTATTGTACAAAGTTTTCAGCACATATATAAGCAGGACCAACCTATCTGCAGAATTAAGACGACAAAACTGCACAAACCTTTTCTTCCAAGACGCGACACAAGCTTCCTTGGATTAATTTTTCTAATTTCTGTAATTCTTCTATGTTCAATCCTTGCAGGTCTTCTCCCCTCATGTGCCTGTCGCCATATGTCTCAGCGTTAGAATTGGAATGTTAAACTATTATGGCAACAAGTTCTTAATCCTGCAATTTTACCTCAGTTCACGGGTTTTCTCTGCTATTTCCTTGTCCAGCATGGCGTACACAGCACCATCAAGCTAAAATGACAAAAGAATATTGCCTTTATTAATGCATAACCATGCAATCTTATAGAATTAATATAGTTAGATTCGTGAAACAAGATCATTATATTCTCCTCCTTCAACTTAATTCAAAGGTTGAAACAACTTATCTGGTGTAAAGTTGCAAGCCATCATCCGTCTTACAAGTTCAAACTAGAAAATCAATGTCATATCATATTTCAAATAGTCCTGAGTTATCATTTGAAGCTTGCTTTTCGACATGGTTTGGATAGAGAACTTAAGCATGAGTCACGTGATCATCTCTAACTGTTTAAAATTCTATAGCTGCAAAAAGACTTGTGATCTAATTTCACATTAACACATTTTAGATATCTCCAAGGAAAAAACAAATTATGGTCCTATTCAAAAATAGAATGAAAGAAAAAAAAGGTTCATATGACAGGTCTTTGAAGTTAGATTTCAGCCCTATTACTTTCTTTATTAGTAAAAAATATAAAATAATGTACCTATTTTGCTGGTTTTTAATTCATATTTGTCCATTTTTATAAATAAATAAAAAAACAAGTTATAAAAATAAAATCTACAGCCATGCCTTTATTAGATGATTTGACTTGTCAATACAGCATTAATCAGCAAGAAAAAGTAGAATTCTCATATCAACGGCAATCTTGATATTGATATAAAAACTATTACCTGCAGCTCATGAGATGCTTGACAGAACATGTCGATGTTCTTTGGATGTAGATTGCGCCTTTCCATCACTTGCCCAACACTTCAAGAACAAAAGATAGGCCAAGTTATTTCTTGAATTATTCATGACAAAGAATAGGAAAACACTTTCTAACAGTGCCATTAATTGGTAGAAGATTCAGTGTTCTCTAGTAATTGCTAGCTACTCGGATTTTTCGCATGATTATTTTAGAAAAAACCATAGCTTGTCTAATCATAAAGATGTGCTCTTTTCCATGATGAATAGATCATTATTAATAGAAAGTAACTATCTCTTGCAAATAAATCCTGAATGATGCACAAACCAAGGCTGCTAAACGCTTTAGCTTGAAAGCGATCATAATAATTAGGGCAGGGTGATCAAACAGTTTTTCATTTTTATTTGTTGAGTCAATCGGAAGTTTTCCTATTGACAAAGAGCTAAGTAACAGTAAGTAAAAAGATCTAGTGTAAAGGTAGAGTGGTTTGGTTTTCGGTATTATTTATTTTTTATGCTGCGAATAACGAAAAAGCTCACCAAAAAGCAATAAAATAACCAAACTGAAAATGAAACATTAGATTGCTGCCACTATTACAGCAGCAAACGACCATACCTAAAGGGAAGGGCTACCCAAAAACGTGGAAAAACCAAAAGGGCAAAACAAAGATACAAGCTGAAAACGAAGACGACTCACCATATTGTCAGCAGTGACAGAGATTGCATCAAAAGCCACAATAAAACCAAGATTGCGGCAGCAGAAAATTAAGGAGTACGTACAGAGCAAGACTAATTAGCTATTCAAGGTTAGAACACGCAAGGCTGGAGAGATAATTGAACATAAGACCAAACAGCAACAGGATGAGGATTACAAGAGCCACACAGCAGAAGGATCTGAATATGGAGTCCCAACAATAGCAAATATCAAATAGCAAAATAACCTGCAGATGAAGCCTAGAAATGGAGGCAGCCCAAGACACACAAAAAACCCAGAAAGAGCAGAAACCCAGAAGGAAGCAAGAATGCCATATAAATTCAGGAGAAGGGAGGAGAATCCATGGTCATGAAACAAAAAGCAAAGCACCCTTACCAGATAACTGCAAAGAAAAGGAAACTGAGACTGATAAAAAACAAGCAGCAATCAAATTACGAAAACCAGCCACACCAACTCTGCAAGAAAATTGCTAACTCCACCAAAACATCGACTGACAACACAACAGGCAGAAAGCATGGCAGGAAAACAAAACATGTAAAGAACATTTGCAAGACACATCCTGGTTATGATCCATGTGCAATCATGAAGCATCTAAAAGCAAACCTGAACATCTAGCTTCAGACAATCTTGAAGGATGACTCTTGAAATTTTCAGTAAACCCTAATATCAGATACAAGAACAAGTCCTATAGAAAAGAAGTTTACGGTGATAACTCAATCTAACAATAACAAACCCTAATTTCAGATACAAGGTCGTATCTATTGCCTTGCGAACCGAAAGCTTAAATCTCCCATTTTCTTAATGTTAACTAGTTTATACCTACAAATGATCTATAGTTTAACTGGTATTAGCGTCTCATATTCCTTCAAGAGATATCGCGTTTGAAACTCTCCTTTATGACCGAAAAAACTAATCAAAACCCCTTTAATAAATAAATATATATATATATATGCTTCCACGCCAATATAAAGTAACACATGAAGACAAGGAGAGAGAAGGCTTTGTCCTAAGTTCCCAACAGTGCCTATGAAACACCTGTGAAATATAGGTTGATTTTGCTGAGATCTTGCACTATATAGAAGCCCTAAGCAATGGAATGAAAAGGATTTTTAAGTACAGAAGCAAGCGAAACCCACAAATTTTTGTATTGCATCCTAAAGCTAATTACGTAACAGTACGGACACAAAGTTATCAAGAAGTTATTCCTAATTGGCTAAAATAGTTTCACTGCAACAAAATTTGGCTTTTTCTAGCACTTCCTGTAAAAGTTTCAATTAGAATTTTCTTATCTGATGGTTAGCCTGGTGTTCTTGTGCCCACCAAGATGAAAATCCACTTTTCCTTCCTACAAAACAACCTTCTTTTATCAGTTTTTTAGATGATGGCGTTTTTAGATTTTTTTTTGTTTTACCCAAGTATTCTCATTCTATATTGGATATAAAACTAATCTTATTCGGACTGAAAGCGATAATAAAAAATTTATCTGAAAACTAACTCGCTTACAATTAAGCTAACAACTTATTGATAAGGGTGTTTTTAGATCTTAATCATCAAATAGTTTGTTTTTAAACTTTATTTACTAAAATAAGGTATTTTTTTGTCGCATGTACCTTGAAAAGATGACATGGAAAAACAAGTTAACAAACTTCATTGTATGTGATTTAACCAAAATAGTAAAGAAATAAGCAAAGGATGGAGAGAACTCATCCACACAAACTTAAACACCACCATGACAGAAAATGTAGCCTGGAATCCTAACAAATGATTCACTTAATTAATAGCGGCAGAGACTCTCAATTTGTGTCTGAACTTTTAGTTAGAGCAATAAGAGAAGGAGATAGAGCTCAAATGAAAAGTGATTATGACTTGTTAATTAGATTAGAGATTTAAAAGTTTAAAAACAGGAATTTTTAAAAGTTTAAGAAGTTTTTCAATGAGGATGTTTAAGGACAGCGGAGCCACAAAGTGCAAAGAAGTCTTTTATAAGTGTTTTATAAAAGTTCATCATTGCTGTACATAATTATCTAAAAAAAAAAAAAAAAAGTTAATAAGTTACAAAAATCATTCCTTTGTATGGAAGTATGAAATCAAATAGAGATTGTCTACAATCAAACTTGACAATATCCTTCAAACCTTAATTGTTGCTCCTTTTAAATTCAATACTCATCACACCGTGTAATTTTTAATCTCTATATGGCTAGGCATATTATACTCAGGTTTGTGTTACATTTCTTATTGCAATATTTGACTCGTGAATTCTTATCTCATCATTGGTCAAGTTTAGGGTTTTAGAGTCATTTTTTTTTCTTTTGAAAAAACTTTACAAGAAGTTTTATTATGTAACTTTTTTCATTTATGTTATTTTTTGGATTTTTTTTTGCTTAACAATATTTTTTAGATTTTTTTTATTTTTTAAGAAATCAAAGAGAAGGTTTAGTGTGCCTAATAATGCTGACGACCATTATGATTTTTATTTTTAAAAAACATTTACAAATATGAAAAATTATATTTTCTAAGAAATCAAAGATTTATTATTCTACAATTTTTTCTTGTTTATTGCTATAATTTATTAGTAGGTTTAGAGTACCTCATTATGTCGATGATCATTAAAAAAAAATAAAAAAATAATTACAAATATGATTTTTTTACTGGTAAAGTTCAAGTTTTGCCTCTTTCTTGAATCAAAGTTAAAATCCTTGAGTTAAACTTAAAGTTTATTTTCAAAACACGTTGTTGAGCTGTTTTATGTTTGTTAAGATCCCAAAGCCAATTTGATCAATAATATTACCATAAGATTGGGGAAGAGGATTAAATATAGATGAACCAAGCATCAACATCCAAGTGACAAAACTATATATGGCCAGGCATATTATATTCAGGTTTGGGTTACACTTCCTATTACAATACGTGACGCATGATTACTTATCTTATCATTGGTCAGGTTTAGGGTTTTAGAGTCTTTTTTTTTTTTTCTCCTGGTCAGTTGATTCACTATTGCAAAAGAAAATGGATTAAATTCCTTGATTAAATACCCCCAAGAGTTGGCACCTTTGTATTGCAAAATAAGAACGTAAAGCAACTGATTTTTTTTTTCCCCTTCAAAATTCTCAATAAATATAGCATGTGTTTATCACAAAAGAAAAATTATTAATCAATTTTATAGCAAATGTAATTTTGTGAGCGAAATATATTCTGTTAGGCTAATAAAAATCTGTTGTCAAATTAAACATACATAAAAGCAACATGCTCTGAAAATGTTCTTTCTCCATCAAGGGTAAGGCGTTTTATTTTCCTATTTTCCATTATTGTTTTCAATTTCTATACCTTCAATCTTTACAGATTTTGTTTTGTGTTGTTTTTTCCAAGTTGGTTTCCCGCCCTCTTGGTGTTTTAAATGAAACGTCTTTCTTCAGAAAACTAAGTGTAACATGTATTTGTATGAAAATTTCATATAAAAATTTTGTTTATATATATATAATAAAACAAAATATTTCAACTTGTCAATTTAATTAGGAGGGGTCAGCCCTTCATTCATTGATAACATTATGATATACTGAGTAGGGAAAGAAGCATTAACAAGATGAGTGTAAGAAAAGAAAACGAGAAGAGAGCACCGATGCTTTTTTTTTTTAGTGGAATAAGTTAAAAAGAAGTAATATGAGGATTAAAAACAAAATTAGACTTTTATGGGGAAAATTATAAGGCATGAACTCGATCTTGGCCCAAAAAAAAAAAATCATACTCATATTTACTAGAGTACTTCATTAAGGATTAAATGGGTCTCTCCTAACTCAACTTTAAAGTCATTGAAAATTAACCTTTTAATTTTCAATCTCGGGTTTGAATTTCTTTAAACTGTGCTTCTATTGAAATCAAGTTCTTTCATTAATTTTCTTACATTTTTCATTCATAAAGTTTAGCACATTAAAAGTACAAGACTACTGCCCAAAAAAAAAAAAAATTATAAATTAGTTCTTCTCGTTTCTAGAAACGAATAAATTGATTCTTTTTTATTTCAAAAATTAATCATGTAGTCTCTCATAGTAAGTTTCTAACTATATCCATCAAATTAATACCTAATACTTAAAATATTTTTTAACATATATATTCATTCATGGGTAGATGATATCTGCACTTCCATTGCTTAGTCTCCCATTGTTTTAAAAGTTGGATGATTGGTTTTGAGGGGACAAAGATGAGCCTAAAGCCAAGAGAGTTTGTTTCTAGAAAACTTAAGAACATGAGGAGCAAAATGAAAGAAAAATAAAATGAGCAATGAAGCTTTGAGGAAAAAAAAAAAAAAAGGACCTATTTTGGTACTTGAAGAGAGAGAAAGGA